AGAGTTGATGCATAAGAAACCCATACAATTTTTAAATAAATTATATTAGTTCATACTTAAAGAGATAGAATTTGTGCAAGAAAGAGAGAGAGAGGGAGAGACACACACACACACACACACACACACACACACACACACACACACACACACACACACACTCCTTTGGCTTCCAAGCTACTATGGTTAGGAAAGAGGCTGACAAAGATACTCGTGCAAGCAATTTTTTTCTCAATGGAAAAGAAGATGACTCAGAACAGGTAGGGTGGAGGGAGTGGTCCAAAAGCCCAAGGACAGAACAAAAGAGCCATGGAGAACCACTCTGAGGGGCTAGCACTAGATTATAATGAAGGAACTGAGAGGATGTCTCTGCTGGAATTCTGAATTGTTCTAAACTAGTTATTGCTAGGTGCCTCCTGTTTTCTGCCCCCTCCCCCCCTTTGTATAGGAGTGTATATTACAGTTCTGTCATAGTCACACCACTGCTATTTGGGAGCAGATAATTTGTTTCTTTACTTCACAGTCTTCTGATCCAGGAGGAGACACACCTGAGGAGTTTCATCCACACATGGATTTAGATGAGTAACAAGATTCTGGACTAGAGGCCTCATGCCTTAATGCCAGAATCAGTCAACTACTGCCTGTGGGCCAACTCTAATTAGCTGCCAGATTTGTATATTAGTACAATACAGCCACACCCATTTCTTTCGCACTACAATGGCAGAATTCTGACACACGCTTTAGAGCCAATGAAAATATTTACTATCTGGTCCTTTAAAGAAAAAGTTTAAAGATCCCAGCCTTAAAGAGATGAGACTTTGGGAGGGTCTTGAGAAGACATATGCATAATTTGCATGTTGGAGGAATGTGAATAATCTGTGGCCAGAGGGCAGACTCTGTGTGGTAGATTAAAGATGGTTGCAAGTTCTGTCTCACTTCCACCATTGAGAGTTTACTTTCCCTCCGTTTGAATCTGCCCTGATTCTGTTAGTATTTAACCATTACAAGGTGGCAAAGGTGATATTGTGACAGTTCACAGCCTTAAACCATAAGAAAGTGTGGAAACTTCCACTTTTGCACTCTTGGGGAGCCCTGAGCTGCCACATAAAAAGTATGATTACCCAGAAAGAGAGACCACATGAAGAGGAGATATCCTGAGACTATATAAACAGGGAAAAAAGTCCAGCATCCCAAAGTCTCAATGAAGTCTCCAAATGACTCTAGCCTCAGCTGCCGTATGACTCCAAGGGCATAAGAACCTAAAGCAAGACCAGGAGAATTGCCCAATTGAGACTGTCAACTCACAGAATTGTGAGAGATAATAGAATGGCTATAGTTCAAAGCCACTAAATTTTAGAATAGTTTGTTACACATCAATACATAACTGAAACACAAACTTGTAACATCTTATTAATAAGGAATATGTCTTACTGAAATTCTGGACCCCTACTGTATGTCATAGATAGAGGAAAGGATCTGAGAAGTTCCTGGCTAGTTATAAGTAACAGATTATTTTTCAAAGATGCTTTATTCCACACCTCCCCCACACACCCCAGCCCCTCATTTCCTTATTCATGCATATAGGGTTATTGCTTACAAGTATTACAATCTAATCCTGAATTTTATAAATTTGATAAATTATGTACTAATGACAAGAAATGTTTCCAAGTGTTGACTTAATTAGTTTCAGAGTCTGCAACATTTCAGTTTTGATAGAGAACTAAGTGGGCTACTGTAGAGAAAATAAAAACCACATCACTTGATATACAATATCAACACTAAACTAACCCTCACTAGTTCTTCAATTCCAAATTGGAAATTTAGCTAAAAACATTTTTAAAGTGGCGTTTAGAAATCAGATGTCTTAGTAAAAACTTAGTGAAATCCTTCAGAGAAAAATAAAAACTTACTTGTCCTTATTAGATTTGAAACAAATGTGAGGACTGCAAAACATCAAACTATACAAGCTTGTTGATTGGAATAGTTCTCATACAACAGGCAGATATCTTATAGAACTGAATTTCTTTTCTATATATCCATAGGACCATACTATAATTTTACTATATGAGAAGATTTATAACATCAAAATAAATTACTATATAATACTGTCTAAAACATCAAATATAATAGATTACAAATTAATCTCGAAAATTAATAATCAGATATACTTTATTCTATCCTCTAAAAAAATATACATCTTTATCTTATTAATCTGTCTAATAACTAAACACAAAAATCTTACCAGAGCTTTCCTATGTTTATAGATGAAATCTTCAGCTGACTTAGCCCATTTGGGGAGAATGACATCATTTACTAGTTCTTTGGAAACTTGTAGACGACCTAAGTTAAATTCTAAGACATGTAAAATAAACGTATCAATTCATTTTAGATTTAAATAAGTCAAGTAAAACAAATATGAGAGCACATTCCTTAGTAAAAACTGAATGCTTTTTTTCTTCTTTAATTAAGAGTGAATGGTAACAATTAAATTCCCTTCTTGATCTAAATTTACTGAACAGGTAAAAATAATTATTATCTACTAGAATGTGTTTATCAGCTTATTAAAGACATAAATAAAAATAAAATAGTTTTAAAGTAGTTATTACAAGGTAAATCAGATTAATAATTGTTTTTTTGGTTGAGCAAAGTGGAGGAAACTATAGCTATGACCAAAACCATAATCTGAACAAAAATGCAGTATTAAGTATTATTTTTAAATTAAAAATAATTAACATAGTCCCTCTCATGGTTAATTTACAAAACACAGCTCCTTAGAGCTTTTTGGTTTAACTTATACCTTAAACTCACTCAATGGAAGAGTTATACACGTGTCTTATGGAAGAACAATATATTTATATACCACTATTCTAAGTAGATACTGACATCATAAAGATTTGCTCATATACTGTATTTTGCCGTGTGTAATGTGCACTTACATTTTTGGCCAAACTTTCAGGAGAAAAATCTTTTAATTTTTTAATTCAAATTTTTATTTGTTTACATTTAGGTATTTGTTTTTTTGCATTATAAAGAAATTTTAGCATTTATTTTTTAACATATCATGTAATAATTTTATGTAACAAGTAATTACAAAACACAAGAACAAATACAAGGTACAAGAAATTTTATGTACCATTAACAAATTTACGATAGTTACGCATCATAGAAGGCCAAGAACTCTTGGTCGTTGCAAGTTTGTTCTAAGTTCAACAAAACCAATGATCCTATTCCAGGGTATTATTTTACATACGGATATCATTATTGATTTCTAGAGTTACACTTTTAACTCATAAGTAAAATAATTAAAAACATTTATATAGATACAGAATTAGTGCTACCCATGTAGAATGCGCACTCTTATTTTTCCCTCACAAATTTGGCCAAAAGCAGTGTGCATTATACATGGCAATATACAGTAGATAGACTACAGTATTTTGACAAAATTATCACAAGGATGAGGTTTTCTTGTTCATACAGTGTGGGGAGAGAAAAGTATAAACACAAAAGACCTTCATAAAAGAAGGTGCCTTAAAATATCAGTGTGTCCCCAGTAGGAGAGAGGTTTAATGTCATAGAATGACAAGACACACAGGCTCTGTGGCTTTGTTAACCCAACCACTGTATAGCAGATATTGTTTGTTGGCCTCCTGATAGCCATTCCTCCTAATGTAGTAGCAGAACCTTGATTTTATTCAGGTTGTCCATCCTGCCCTGCAATTCATGCCTTTGCAGGTGACTGGTGTAGGGGTTGGTATATGACCCAGCTCTGGTCAATGAGGGGAGGTTATGAGAGGAGGTTATGAGAGTTTCTCCCTCTTAAGAAATGACAAAGAATTAACAGTCCCACTTCTTTCTAAAACACTGCTGTATCAGCCTATACCTAGAACTGTGTTAGTCATTTGTAACTATGAGAGGAACTACAAGGACAAAGCCAAAACACTTAGAATAGCAGAGTGAGTGAAAATACGGGAAGAACTTGGCTTGGATGATGATGTTAAGCTGCCTGAAACTACCATATCTCAGGGTTTTTAATGAGAAAACACTAAAATTTTCTTGCTTGCACAATTATGAGTTGGTTTTATTAATATTTGTTTTAGTAATTAATATAATACTAATATTAACATTTGTTGGCATTGTAACTAATATGTTACTTTCTCCCACCTACCTCATTTTAAACAAAGAGGCAATGTACAGTTAGAAATTAAGGCCACCAGGATAGTCATGCAATATAGCAACTGCCTTTCGTGAATGTCAGACATTGTAAAGCTAAGAGTACCTTAAATTCTGTATGCCAATTCAATCTGCTCATCCCCCCTATCTCAGATACCCTGCTTTAGGAGATGCCAGTCCTACGGCTGACTAACAGTCAATAGATTCACTTGATTTTCAGAAAGTGACCAATTCTGCCTTATTCTGAGAATCAGATGTCCTGCCTCCGATAGCCTGTCTCAGAGTGCATGACCAAAGGACATGAAGCCCTGGATATGCTGTCCCCAGCATGATAAATAATTCTACTGAGCAAACAAAGGGTTAAATATTAACATTATATGCCAGGGGAGGAAAAATGAGTTGGTAATGGTCCCTTGCCACTGTGAAATTTTCCTAAAGAACACCAGCAATAACAATCTTGTCAACTTCCTTATCTGTGCTTAAACTAAATCTAAAACTAACTCATAGAAAAAGTATTTACGTATTTTTAAAAACTGTATGTACTTCCATGATTCTCTACTTCAAAAACATAATATAATTTTTCAAATAGTGTGATAACTTATTCTCTGTCATTTTTTAATTTGTCTGTCTTCTGCTCTAAATCCAGAGTCAGCAAACTTTTTAAATAAAGGGTCAAAGAATAAGTCTTTTTGGCTCTGTGAGCTCTATGATCTCTGTTGCAACCACTCAAACCTGCCATTATATTGTGCAAGCAGCCAATCTGTATGTAAATGAATTGGCTGGCTGTGTTCCAACAAAATTTTATTTATAAACACATGAATTTGCCCACAGATTTTGCCCATGGGCCTGTAGTTTGCTGATCCCTGGTTTAAATTTTCATCTTATCTAATCCAAACACTTTTAACCCACATGGGAATATGGCTGAATTAGACTATGACCATTTTTGCTTCTCTAGTAAACACTGTACTCTGACAAACTCTCTTACCAATTCAAATTTGACTCTTTATTCTTAGTTCATTGTAGCACTTCCCTGGAAGGTAAAACTAGTACCTTGTCATCAGTTACGCTCTGCCACTGAATAATACACAGACAGAATAAACATTAAATAATCTATGGGACATCACAAAAATGTCCTCAAAGATATTTTTTAGGATCCTCCATTGGACTCTTTGAGTCAAATTTTTATCTATTTCTTACGATTTTGATTTTCCAAAAACTCTGGGAAATAGAAGAATTCGGGAATAAGTTCCTTCACATCATTTGGATTGTCCATGAGAGCCTGCCACGTAGCAGGGATGGAATGGAACTGTCGATCTGCACAATCAAACCTGCACATGGAGATTGAAAGAGAACAGTGAATATTGAATGAGAACAACAGGCATGAAACAAACTTTTCAACTCCCTTCAAGTTTCCTAATGATTCGAGTTTCTCTTTTCTTAATCTTTACCTTTAATGTCTAAAAGCACCATTTGCTGTCCTTATGATAATCTATCTTTCATAATCTGTTGTCAGGAACTAAATGCTATCATTATCACTAGTATCATCTTAGTTAAAATAGCTGAAGACCAAATCACAGTGGAGAAAATTTTCAAGTAATTAAATATATACCTAAGATACCTAAGAGACCTTAAAAAAATGGTATAATTTTTGCTGAGTAAAATTTATTACAGAAAATTAATAAACTTTTGGTTATTTTAAATCACAGTTTCAATATAAAAGTATTATAGTATTAATAATGCTGATTTAATTGTTGATACATAAATATCTTTACAAAGTCTTCTGCTAAAAACAAGAGGGTGATTTAGAGAAATAGCTCTATGGCTAGATACTTTATATTATACTTGTATATACTATTATCTTATTTTAACTTTATTTTGGAGTTCCATCACGGGCCTATGGTCGTTGAAAGATACTCAAGTGGTCATGCTGCAATTTTATTATGCTTTCTCTAATCACAAAAAGTACAAACTTGTGTTTCATCTCCTTTGATATTGTTTTCCTGGTTTTATTAAGTAATGACTTACTAAGTGACACTGATGACTAAATTGACTCTTTTTATGCCTACAAATCTTGGTTTGAGGCTGAGCTAAACTCAGCAGAACTCTGAATTTAATTAGTCAATGATTGGGTCATCAGTATAGTCTAATGATGGTGTATCCAAATTCAAGAAGTGCAGCTTTCATGGTAGAATCTTTATGTTTGGGTGGGAGAGAACACCTTTATTGAAATATAATTAATGTACATATAATTCACTCTTTAAGTGGAATATTCGATGGATTTTAGTGTATTCAGAGTTGTGTATCAATCACCATAATCAATTTTAGAACATTTTCATCACTCCAAAAAAAACCCCTGTATCTATTAGCAGTCACTCTTCCTTCACCCTACCTCTACCCCGTAATCTACGTTCTGTCTCTATAGATTTGCCCATTTTTCACATTTCATATAAATCATACAACATGTGGTATTTGTGCACTGTTTTCATGGTTTATCCATGTTGTAGCATGTATCAAGTTTTCATGCCTTTTATTCACTCATGGCCAAATAACATTCCAAAAAACAGGATGTACCACATTGTATTTATTTGTTTATCAGCAGATGGACATTTGGGTGTTTCCATCTTTGGGCTATTATAAATAATGCTTCTATGCAAATTTGTGTACAATTTTTGTGTGAATATATGTATTCAATTATGTTGGGTATACATCTAGGAGTGCAACTGTTGGTCATATGGTAATTCTACATTTAACCCTTCAAAGAGCTGCCAGACTCTTTTCCATAGAGGCTGCATCATTCCACATTCCCACTAGCAGTACATAAGGGATCCAATTTTTCATATGGTCATCAACATTAGGTATTAAAATTATCTATCTGGATTATAACATCCTTGTGAGTGTGAAGAGATATTTCAATTTGGTTTTGATTTAAATTTCCCTGATGACTAACAATGTTGAGCATTTTTTCATACGGTTATTGGACATTTGTATATCTTCTTTGGATAAATGTCCATTTAAAGCAGTGGGTCTCAACCTTCCTAATGCCGTGACCCCTTAATACAGTTCCTCATGTTGTGGTGACCCCCAACCATAAAATTATTTTCGTTGCTACTCTATAAC